CTAGACGGGGACATTACTGTTACTATTCAACAGCGTGTTACGGTCTACAATGAACGTATGTTTAACGACGGCTACATTGACGAAAAGACTAAAAAGTACCTGGTACAAACAAACGTGAAACCAGGACGTTTTTACATGCTACCTAAAATACATAAGACAGGAAATCCTGGACGCCCCATAGTTTCATCTAACAGCCACCCTACCGGAACGCATCTCACAATTTGTTGACTACTACATTAACCCTACATTAACCCCTCTCGTCCAGTTGACGGCAAAGAAATGTACAAAAAAGTGTGATGCACGTGCAAAGTTGTTGTTTTGCTTATTTGACTTTCTCGTCGCCGCCGCATCTTTATCTTCTTATTATTTACGATACATTGTGATGAGTCAAAAACAGAATATTCTCCTGGCAAATTGACCTGCTCCTGCTGATAGCATCGCAAACGTTTTTTGGACTCATCGGTAGTTCCTTCGTTTCTAGTTAGGAAAGAAGAAAATAAAAGTCTCCCTGGCTCGCACAAGCTTGGTGAACGAACCGGACAAGTGTAGCAAGACAATAGCAGTCGTGTACGAACTCACGAAAAGAACTCAGGAGAAACTGTTCGCCGATTGGGCGCAATAATACAAAGCATTTTTTGTGCCCAATCAGGAGCCGGCATCCGCTTGAATTTTTGGAAATAGCTCGGTGAGAGTCGGTACCCAGGGGCTCTTTCGCTCGTACTTGAAAACTTTCGTCGCGTCCTTTCTCCCGACCCGACTGACTGCCCCTTGGTCTCCTAGGATGGATCCTCACCATGAATAATTTCACATTTAACCAACAGCATTGTCTTCAAATCCATGGTACTGCTATGGGTACTAAAATGGCTCCTTCCGTTTGCTAACCTTTTTCTTGGTTATGGCATGGGTCGCACTTGGGAAAAGTTTTCATCTTTGCCGGCTAAAAAACCACAATTATTCGAAACCGCAACCGGAAAAGAAAACTTTTAGTCCAACCGAGGAGGGTCGCATTTATAGTGGGAGTTAATAGTTTTTGCTTTGACACATTGAGAACTTAAGAACGCCAGATACCAGAAAACATTTTTCTCTTCTTCGTCCGCACCTCTGTCGAAGGATCTTTTTCCTCCATTCCCAGTTTCAGGAGGATGGGACAGATAAAGAAGACCGGAAAGTGCTTGGATGCGAATAGTACATTTGGCTTGGAGAGTAACAAACCTGTGAAGTGTTTGCTTGTGCAGACGGGAACTGGTTCGCCTTCAATAGAGCTCGTTCCCGTAAAAACCTTAAAATAGCGAAGGTTTATAAGCGAGTGAAGTCCTTGCCTGTAGAGAGTTTTCGAAAAAAACTTGAAATGGCGACGGATAGCCGAGTAAAAGCCTCTTCGCGAAGGTCTGAAAATTCGACCGCGTTTATTTTAAATTGATCGTGTTTCAAATGGATCACGTTCATGACAAGGCGCTGACAGTTACCGCTGTGATTCCTATTGTTTAGCTCGAGTTTTCCAAAATCTGCCTGCCCCACCCAAGCACTACGGCGTCTTTGATGTTTTTGCCGATTTTCAAAGTTTTTCCTAACTTGAAAACTCGGGGTCGCACTTAGCAATGTCCACCGATGACAGATTTATACCGCAAAGTAAACAAATTCTCGCAAAAATTTGCCAAGTGCGACCCATGCCTATGTTCGAAACCAACGCTCTCACTAACGCCCCTTGGCAGCCTCACACATGGTGGAGATATATCGATGATATTTTCATGATCTGGACAGAAGGTTCGGATCATTTGAAAATATTCGTCGATTATCTCAATAACATTCATCCCACTATTAAGTTCACTAGCTCTCACTCACTTACTAACGTTCCTTTTCTCGACGTCATGGTGTCTCTACATAACGGTATAATTGAAACTCAGGTTGAAACTGATCTATTTACTAAACCCACGGATAAACATCAGCACCTTCTCAGCTCATCATACCATCCTCACCACACTAAGAAAGCCATTCCGTTCAGCTTAGCCCTTCGCCTCCGCCGTATCTGCTCTACAGACGCTAAGTTTAAACATCGCATTAATGAACTTAAAACATATCTCCTTGCTCGTGGTTATAATAATAATTTCCTAGAAAAACAGTTCCTACGCGCTGCTAATATTTCTCGTACTAACGCGTTACAGACTAAACCCAAAGCTTCTAACGATGTTGTACCATTTGTTGTCACATATAACCCAGCACTTCCACGCATTTCTAATATCCTAAGCAAACATTTTAACATCTTACACTCCTCTAACCGTTGCAAAGACGTCTTTAGCAACCACCTTTTGTTGCTTACAGACGTAGCTCTAATCTTCGTGACCTTTTAGTTAAAGCACAACTACCCGTTATCTCCACCAATCATTTTCCGCCAGGCTGCTTCCGTTGTGGACAGAATTGTGCCACTTGTCCATACATTACTAACGGCCTCACAAGTTAGGGACTGTGTAGCCTGTTCCAGGCTCCGAGATGGTGGTGGAAAGTCGTTCAGTAAAAAGAAATGCGAAAAACGCGCGGAGGCTGGGGAGAGACACCGCCCCCTTTCCCAAGTCGTGCGCGTCTTATTTTCGCTTTGCTCGTTTTAATACGTTCCCACTATACTATCTGAGAGCCTGGCACAGGCTAGGGACTGTGCAATAATTATCAGGGGGGGGGCTGAAAAACTAGAGTTATCTAGCAAAAACTTAGACAGTACCCCCCTCCAAAACAAAAAAAAATTAGCTCTAACCCCCCCTCTGTTATGTTAAAAATAACGTCGCACCCTCCCCCTCCCACCACACTGGTAAACTCAAAACTGGACTGAGCTGCCATCACAGCTTCAATAATGACAAACGTTATTATGTAACATCTAGTATCCAGAAGGATGTTGATCGCTTGATTGAAGATTTAGACAAAGCATTTGCTAAGTACCGGAGTGCTTACTAGCCTCCCCGCAGACGTCCTTTGAGGAGAAATGATTGCGTGACGAAGGAACCCCAAAGGACGTCTGCGGGGAGGCTAGGTGCTTACCACATTGGCTCTAAATCTAAAATTTCTAAAGCCAGAAAGAGAAAGGAGCAGAGAAAAAAATCAAAGAACAGGAGATTGAACGCTTCAAATAACAGACGTAAAAGAGTTTTGCAAGCTTTTTGAGTGTTCTTCCAATCTCTTGATTTAGATCCTTGGGAGGAGAGCCTGTTGAACTTTGTTATGACCCACATATATATGGAATTCAGCAAATCGATTCAGTCGATGAAGAAACATTACTTTTATTCACATCAAGAACCGACAAAGCTTGTCTACGAGATCTGTTTGATTCCCATTGTTTTACGGGGGAAGCTGAAAAACAAGTTCATGATTTTTGCTTTACATAGGATCAGCTCAATTAATTAGAAGACGGGTTAAAATTAGTTGTGAATTTGCTTTTCATTTTGATGGAATATTTTCAATGATCGTTTAACAGCTGTTGGTGTTCATATTTGTTACATTCTATCATGATGCCTGTATTGAGAATCTTTTATTGCGTTTAATTTTATTTACATTTCGAATAAAACTTAAGCCCCCCCGTCAATTGAGTGATTTTACTTTGAGCCTCCCCCCCCAACCTCGTCCCCAGGGCGCTTTTCCCTGGGACCCCGCCCCCAAAGCCAGGGAAAAGCGCCCTGGGGACGAGGCTGAGCCCCCCTATCTTGGCAGCAATTTTATGTAATGCCCCCCCTCTAGTTTTTCAGCCCCCTCTCCTGATAACTATTGCACAGTCCCTTATACAGTCGACTCCCGATAACTCGAACCCTCGCTAACTCGAACCTCGCGCTAACTCGAGCCAAAATCGATTTCCCCTGGATTTCCGTCATACATTTGCTGTAATTTTACCCTCGGTAATTCGAACCCTCGATAACTCGAACTCCCGCTAACTCGAACCAGTATTCGTTTCCCCTCAGGTCAATTTATATATAATTTTACCCTCGATAACTCGAACCATGTTTTGAGCCCTTAAAAAGTCGGGAAAAAAGCCGTCTACTGGCGTCCGAAAAATTGAATTTTAGATTTCCTATTAACGTGTTGTAGTAGTATAGTTTACTAATGGAGGCTGATGTTGAATGTCACAGGCTAACGTGAAGCAGCTTTACTTCTCAAAACAGTAAAAGGCATGCTCTATTTAGGCTATGTTTTGTTACGTTACGTTCTGATTTATAATCTAGAAGTATCTTTTAATTTTCACTTGACATTTCTACAATTAAATGTGTTTAAAATGTTCACTGTACAGTAAAAACTGTTTTTTACCTTACTCTCGGCTATTTTCTTCGAGCTCCCGATAACTCGAACTCCCGATAACTCGAACTTTTTTCGATTTCCCTTGAAGGTTTGAGTTATCGGGAGTTGACTCTACCTTTTACGCTACAGGTGAAACACGCTCCATCACTTCAATCAGCTTTGCAGTAGTCTTTGGACTTCTCGTTCTTGGTTCTTTATATTTTGGCTGATTTGATCTATTTTCTGGAGATCCAACGTTTACAACTAGCAGGATCTTCGTCCACGGTTTTTGCAGCTAATTTAATCCTTTACTACACCCCTGTGTTGGCAATACAGTGTCTGAGTGGGCGGAAGACTCTACTAGTTTAAAAAACAAATCTTACAGGCGTTCCCTCTCTCACCTCTCCTCCTCCCTCCCTTTTATTTTTTCGCGCTTCTTTTTACTTCGCACCGCTCCCCACTGTCTGAACGCCTGGAACAGGCTACCAAACTGTTTTAGCTAAAAGGGACTGGGGCGAGACCAGAAAACGTATTTTTCTCATTTTTCTGGTCTATTTTTCTTTCTCGCCCGACCTCGCCCTCGTTTATCGCGGCTCGCGCGTGCTACCCCGGTGACTCTGAACAAAATAAGAGATTTCTAGCAAGCCAGATCCAAGGTAAAGTGGATTACTTTTGTAAGCAGATACGTCACTGTTATTTTTGCGGGATTTCAAGAGACCGTTACCTTTTATGCAAAGGTTTATTTGCATAATTTATGCAAGGTATCAAATGTCATTTCCTTAGCAGCGACTAGCGTCTCAACAGATCAAACATCAAACCACAAGATGGCGATGTGGCTGACTGGTTTGATTTGTTCGTTGTTAACTGTTGGCTTTCTTGTCCTCGACACTCAGGCCGCAAATGTTGCTCTTTTCAAGCCCACTAAGGCTAATGCAACTTGTGGATCTCCAGCGGAACCGTATTATAGCGTCGTGGAACGCTCCAAACAACTGAGGTTGAGGAAGCTTTCCGTCTGTGACTGCTGCAATGCTTCCAATCCTGGTGCATCGCATAACGCGTCAAATATGGTTGATGGAAATTTTGCAACGTGGTGGCAGTCTCCAGCATCTGTAGATAAAACATCTATTACAATTGATCTGAGAGGAAATTATCAAAAGGTAAGCGCCACCTGAGATAATATTCGGATTGAAATTCTTCGCAGCTGCATAAACTCGCGCGCAGGTTTTCAAATCAAACGAAAACGAGCAAACTTCGTGTTCTTTGCAGGATTTTTGTTGTTTGTTTGCTATGTGAATGTGCGTTTATAGAAAAAGATTTATTCTGTATCGTTCATGGGGAGAAATTCAGGATTAAACCCAGAAGGAATTCATACAACCGTTAGCTGATCGTTGCCAAATTCCTCTGTCGTCTTTTTTGTATCGGATGGCATGCTTCCTTGTCTATTACCATGGGAATCACGTTCAAATACAGCACCCTCATTTTTATCCTAGATATAATATAACTTATGCTAGTAACTGTTGTATCACGTTCGATCAATATATCTATATTTTTTCAAAATTTGACCCTTTGAGGTATATCTTTATTTTTTCAAAATTTGACGCTTTGAGGTTTTGGTGATGCCCTTCAACTTGTGTTAACCAAGGGGTCTGTCCATACCGTGGAACCCTGTGTTAAGACGCACACTAAGGGGACCACAATTTAATGCCCAAAACAGACCTTTTATTGAAACGTAATTAATATTAGAGAAATAAAACAGGACAGAAGCATCATCAAACTTTACCATTCCTGTTTCCAAGTGGCGTAAGATTTTTTGCGGTCCACTTGTCAGTACAAGTGTATAGGGTGGTTTCACTGAAGATGAAATGCAATTTGTATCAATCAAAAAATTATTAGTGATAGTTATCCATTTGTCGATTGGTTTTCAAATATCAGTTTTTATTGATTGCACTTGTCAGGACAGTAGGAGAAATGTTTGCATTGGTACTTGTGCAGCTACTGAGTTACAAATTGATTTTTGAGTGTGCTAATAAATTACTATTTTTTATTTTTTAGTTTTACTATGTGAACCAGTTAGTCATAAGATTTGGTGAATACTACCGACCTGGCCAACTTGCATTCTACAAGTCTAGCGATTATGGTCAGAGTTATGAGCCATGGCATTATTTTGTTTCAAATGTGGATGATTGTCAGGAGAAGTTTGGTGTGACATATAAGACCAAACCAACTGCAGTAAATGACGTCCTTTGTATGGAATATACATCAGAAGCTGTTGATAAGAATGATGTGGTATGTTCTCAGGGTTCTCAATAGAGGCCGGCACCCGACGTTGGTTGCTGCCTACTTTGGAATTTGTAGCTGCTTAATTTGCTTTTTTATTCCTTTCCCTCCCTAGTTTATGGTTACTCCGTTTGTCACAGCCACTTTATATTTAAGGTTGAGCAGACGTCTGTATCAAATCCTATTGAGCGAGCACCCTGTGTTTTGTTACACATATGGCAAGCACTCTCTCCGCCACTTGGGACCCAATCTCTGGGGAAAATTATCCCCAGACTTGAGAGAAGTTACCACCTGAAAAACAAAATATGTACATTAGATATAGTGACACTAATGGATAATGGATGCAAGTGTTGTCATCTCTGCAATTCATAGACACATTTGTCATCCTGTAGATATTACTATTGTCATTAATTTTTTTATACCTGCACTTATATTTAAATATTTTTTACTCTAATTTATATTTATTTAATTTGTGTCCCCTAATGAGCATAGGTTTTTAACCTAAGCTAGGATGCTTCTTTGGACATCATCATCACACCTGTGAGCAGAGCCTTCTTTTGTCTTCTTGATCGAGGAGGAGACATGCAGACTCTGCCTGAATCGCATCAAACCTGCAAGGTCGCTGCAGCCCAAACTTCTGGACCAGTCAATCTTGTTTTCTTTTGTCTAAGTGGTTTGTTTGAGTTCGAGCATTCGTTTATTGATAAACCGATGGTCATAACTGAACCAGCTGTAGCAAGCAGAGGGCTATTAGGCTACATCCTAGCGACAGGTCACGCATGCTCAACAAAGATCTTACTTCATTCATGCAGAGTCTTTCTTGAGTACTCCAAAATTAAGTAAGTGAAGAAAAGGCTCTCCTTGCAGGGTGGTTCAATTATTGAGTATGTTCTTTTTTGTTTTGGATATAAATTTTTAGCAGGGTGCAAAGAAAGTCAGTTTTATAGCTTGCCATTCGGGCAAGATGCAGCTAACATGTACTAGCCCAAAAGTCATTTCAACCTGCCTGAAAAAAATTTTGAGGAGCAAGATTGATTACAAGTTATTCTTCTGTAATTTGAATTGGGCAAGTTAAGAACAGAATAATTATTTACTAGCCTGGTAGCAAAATCCACTAGCCCTGGGCTATCAGTCACTACCTTCTTAGTATATTGTTTTAGTGTGAATTTTATCTCTTTTTAACTTCTACCTGGGCTTGTAAAAACTTGAATTTGGTCTTGTCCTTTGGGCAAGCAGCTCTCACTTTTTGCTTCCGGGGGCCATTTCTTACTCGTCTTAGTTGATGATTTTGTTGCTAGGATGATTTTCCTGGACACCTACCCACTGCTGGCAAGTAAGCTTTAAAAGTTAGATGCCCAGCAAAAAAATTTACTTGTCCTGGACTGCTGGATGGGACTTCGCCTGTTCTGCTATGAAACTTGAAAAAAACCTTGATCACCAGAGACATTAATTTGTGGAGTGTTGTTGTGTAATATAATGTAAGAAGAAAGCCAATCAGGCAAGAGAAGACTAAGGCCTGGTTCAAACATTGAATTTCACATGCAGTGCTGAACTTAACGCGAGAGTTAAATGTATGTGAAGTGCGATGTTTGAATCAATTAAATTTGACTGTTTAAATTAAGTGCAATGTTTGCCATGTCTTATCATTTTCACAGAGATTTCCACATCAATAACCTTCAGGTTGTTTTTCACATTCATTGGTACTGATCCTAATGTCCTCATTACCACCAGAATCACCTTTGTCACATCCTCACATTTTTCAAACCTCTCTCACAAGATACTTCTCAACTTTCCCATCTTCCTTTTCTCTCACCCATCCATCCTCTGGAATTGCCACATATATAATTTGACAGTTCTTGTCTGTCTTCTTAATGAACACTATTATTATTATTATTAGTAGTAGTAGTAGTAGTAGTAGTAGTATTAGTATTATTATCAAATTTACCATGCTCATAAAGTTCTCTACCTTTCTTCCCAGGTATCCTTACTGTTGGTTGGTCCCAGGGGAGACGTTAATAATCCATCCAATGATCTACTGGTTTGTAGAAACGTCCTTTTGATGTTGTATGCAACCACTCAGAGCAGCCAGCCAAGTTAAAGTTTTTGCTTGGTCGCCATTTGGTGACCAATGGAGACTTTTTTTACAAATTAAGTTGCCAGCTTCAAAATTTTAGGTGCCATGGTGACTAAAATTGTTGCAAGTTGGAGGGTTGACTCATAAGAAAATTTACCAGCCCCTCTGCAGCCTAATAATTAAGGCACAACTATTGTTTTGAGAGCTGAAGTTCTAATATCAGGAGACCAATAATCCTTTAGTAAGAGGGATAAAAAACTGTAGGTGTTAAGATTACCTAACAATGCCAAAAATGCAAAAAAATACTGATCCATGGGAAGCATTTCAAATCGCTTGTACCAGTTGTGTTGACAAACATTCAGTGAACCATTGTTGATGTGATGAGCAGTGTTGATCTGAATTTCTGCTGGTTCATGAGATAATTCATATGCATATTGATATACATGTATCTTCTTGTAATAATAAATTACTCAAGTGACTCAAATAATCATCGGTTGTAAAGAAATTACTACATGATGATCTTTGGTATAACTGTTTTGTTTATTTTAAACTTACTGTTTTAGAATTGGATGAATGTGACCAATGTCCGTTTGCACTTTTTATCACTGACACGGATCTTTGACGTTCTGGCTGTCAAATGGGTATGAATCGTAATGATAATTAACCTTTATGTTTAAGTTCTGTTGTAATACAGAGACTTTTTATCATCAAGAAAACTAAACTATAGTTAAAAAAATTTTGCCAACCTTACTTTTAAGCTTCTGAACCCTAATCTCAGCACACTGGTAGCCATTAACATAATTATTTTGTGCTTGATGATGAGAATTTGTTGAACAGAAAAGAGTTACAGGTGTGAAGTTGCCTGTTAGCTTTGTATTTACTTGGTGATAATTCTCTTAAGTAGTGATATTTTAAGAAGAAAGTAAAAATGCTTGTCACTTTTTGGGTTTAAAGGGTGTACTGTTTTTTTGTTAAACAGCACCACTATGCTGTACGGGAAGTTGAGGTTGATGCCTACTGCTTGTGCAATGGACAAGGAAATGGATTGCAGTGTTTTTATAATGCCACACTAGGAGATAATCAGTGCACATGTCAGGAAGGTGCATGCGGCTTAGACTGCGGAACCTGTTGTCCTGCTTACAATCAGTATCCATGGCGACCTGGAAACAAAGGCCCTCTTGTAGCTGACCCAGATGCTAGATGTCAGCGTATGTTGTAACCTTACTTTTGGCATTTTTAAATCCAAGTTCATGTTCATTTTTTACACTTGCAGTTAGGGTCTTGAAGGTCAAGGCTTGACTGACAGATGGTCCATTACATCGTGATAATAACTGACCAATCAGGGCACGGTTCCTCGAAAGATGATTAAGAATAACCCAGGATTAAGCCAAATTTTAAGCAAGGTTTTCTTGTCTTTGAGCATGCAACTGTCAGAGCTTACAAAAGACAATTCGGCCTTTACTCCAAGATACAGTAATGATAGCACAAAATGTTACTCTCAGTAATACTTAGGAACGAAAAATACAAAAACGGAACAACATTTTAAATCCTCGATTAGGACCAATCTCCCTTTCAGAAAACGGGCCCAGGTCAACGATAATTATTACCATAAAGAGAACTGATGATAGACAAATCACTTTGACTCTAATAAGACTTTTGCACAGGTTTTCTAAAACATTTGTCACTGTCATCAACAGTCATGATCATGATTACACTCCTGGGCTGTTGTTAGCTTGTTATGAAGCAGTGTGTGGTAGCAAGTGAGGTTTCAACTATGACATTTCTAAAGAAAGCACTTATCAGTGTGTTCTTGAGCTTTCCACTTTGATCACAGGTAACATCAAGTAATTGGTGAGCTCAGCTGTCAGCTCAGCTGCCAACTGATCAAAACTACTTATTTTGACTTTGTTAAAATAAGACATATTTTCATTTGTCTCCAGTGTTAAGTAAGGTTCATTTGGGTCTGGTGTCAAAGCAAACTAAATTGTTTTATTTTTCTGCAGGTTGCAACTGTCACAACCATAGTGCAGTGTGTGTATATAATGAAACTGTCGCTGAGATGAATAAGAGCTTAGACATTTATGGAAATTATTCTGGTGGAGGAGTCTGTCAAAACTGCCAGGTAATAAAAACTAATTAACACATACATGTATTTTGAAAGTATATTACAGTTTAATTTGCTGGATCATGAAAACTAATAAGTTAACTGTTAAATAACTCTTCTTTTCTTTAGGATAATACTGAAGGAATCAACTGTGAAAAGTGTACACCATTTTTCTTCAGACCAAGCAATAAATCTCGCTGGGACAAAGATGCTTGTCAAGGTAGTCCAGTTATAGTGGAGATTGCGTTATGGTGTTTGTCACTTGACAAAGTTTTTGAAGTCTTTCTGACATGTTTTCCAAACATTTTTGAGAATATCTGCTAGGTTCATTATATACAGTTGTCAAAAATAATTATGTAAAAATTATATAACAATAACTAGTAGTAACTGAAAATTAGGGGAGTGCTTCTAACAGTGATTTCACTGAACCATTCACGTGATTTTTGTGCAAAGAAGGCTAAAAATTGAAACTGAGGCAGAATGTACATACCAGCTCCTGGCCGAGAAAAAGCCCCTGAAAGATCTGATAGTATTGTTTTGGTGTATACAGGGTGCAAAGAAAATCATTTTTACAGCTTGCCATTCGGGCAAGCTGAAGCTAGCACTTACTAGCCCAGATGTCATTTCAACTAGCCCCCAAAACCTTTTGACTAGCAGAATTGATTTCACAGTTCTTCTGTTATTCAAATTCCTAAAAAAACATCACTTGCCCGTCGGCAAGTTAAAAACAGAATTCACTAGCCCAATAACAAAATCCACTAGCCCCAGGCTATTGGACACTACTTTCTTTGGATGCTGTTATAGTAGTAAAGAAACTGCTTTTGATAAATATTGGCAGAGTCTCCTTCTGTATTACCTTGTATCTGCAACGGGAGAATTTGAAATTAGATCAGTAGTCCCTTGGGGCCCTAACACTTTGAACCCTATCAAGTGTATCAAAATTTAAATTCTCATTTGTCACCCCTATACATTCCCTATATAAATAGTGGAGAGAAGTAGATCAAGTATATAAAAAAATTAATGTTGTGTGGTCATGTCCTTACATGATGACATCTCATTACATCTTTTGTGGTCATGTCGTTTAACTAAATATTTATATGTCGTATTAACTAAATCTTTTCATTAACATGATGGCTGAACAAGAGATCAAGAATGTTATTTCACCGATACTTAGAGCTATTTTAGTAATGTTCAGTACTTTTTGAAATTTGTAGCTGTTTCTCTGCAGTAATATTTTTGTTGTTTTTTTGGACAGAGTGTAATTGCAGTGTTGAAGGAACTAGAAATGTAACCCTCCCAGGAGTTTTGTATCTAGACTGTATAAGAGATGACACAGTTGTTCCCCCTCATCCTGGAATGGTAAGCTATGATAATGAAGTGAAAAAAAAAAACAAAAGAAAATCCATAACTTGTTGAAAGAGCAAATGATGACCTCTGTTAGAAAAACGTTAAAAATGCCGGTCTGATCAGTGCAAAACCGATCGATTTCTAGCAAAATTTGTCCTGAAAATAACCACAAAATCGGCCGTTTTTTACCGATTGCTTTTTAGTGAAGTTTTTCCGATTTTTCCGTGAATTTGTCCCAAAAAATCCTTCAAAATTTGACTTTTTCTTCCACGACCTATCAGAAGCCCTGTAGTTAGAAATCACGTAAAGGTGGTTTGAAACTGTGATAGCAAGGAGAAAGATGTCAAATACATAAGTAAAATTTCTGCTTCCTCCTCAATGCGTGAAACAACAGCTTTTGTAATTTAGACTAGAGACATGCGTACCCCGTCCTACACCGCTAACAGGGACTCATAACAGAACTGGCAGCTTAGTCTATTTTGTCTTCAGTGTGATATCTACTTCATTAAAAAAATCTTACTCTCAAAATTCTTAATGCGTTCAACATAGCTGCCCAGGGAGTAAATATTGTTACATTAATATAATAATATATAATATTATGTTGTGGTTAATAATTTTATCTTTGGTTGACATTTTATTTTTCTTAATGTTTCAAACTCATTATCATACATTACCATACCCCCAAAATAAAGGAAAATAAAATGTAGACCAAGGATAAAATTGAACCACAACATATACATGAAGACATCTGAGGTCATAGTAGGCTGCACTGAATTTTTTCAGGGACCTGGAGACTGTATCTGTAAAAACAACACCATGGGAAGACGGTGTGACCTCTGTAAACCTGGTTACCACAATTTATCAGCAGAAAATCCTGAGGGGTGTCAAGGTAATAATATGATATGATTATATACTGTTAATTAATAATGTTAATTATACCGCAGCTGAGTGCAATGCATAACCTTGAGTGTTAAACAAAGAGTGCAGTACACTGACTGATGTCATTATTAGAAAATATCTACCTGCCAGGTCTCATTTCTTACAGGAGAGAAATTTTATTTGGCTTTTATGTGAATGGTTGTCTGGGCTTTTAATATTGCATTCTTTTTAATTTTAGAATGTACCTGTCATCAGCCTGGAACAGTGAATGGATCCAATGTTTGTGAACCTGATATACATGGTCGCTGTACATGTAAGAAGAATGTTGAAGGACCCCGCTGCTTAAGTTGTAAAGACATGTTTTATGGCCTCAGTGCAGATAATATGAATGGCTGTTCAGGTACTTGTCCTTTGTGAAATGAATAAAGTCAGCTGTGTGGGTTATAAAGAAGAATTTACTCGGTGTCTCTCTGAATATACGCTGGTCGATAATTTAGGAGTTTAGCATCCTGAGATACCAAAGGAATTAGTGCTGATCTGGGCATGGAAAGAAACCTATCCTTTATAATTCCCTCCTCCGCTATCTAACTTGTGTGAGCTTTTAGAATAATATTATTGCAGTTTACTGCATTATAAAGGTGCTTATTAATACATGTAATGTTTTGCAGGTGTTTTGAACAAGATAGCTTTAAAAGAATTATTTGTCTGTTTGCAAGTCAAAAGTGGTGACTGGGTACATGTACAGTGTAGTTGTAAAAGGGAATTCCTTTACTAAAACAAAAGAATGTGTAAATGACACCATCTTAAAAATGTAATTATGCTGTAATTCTTAAATTCAATTCTCTTTTCAGAGTGTGACTGCGATGTTGGGGGTTCATATGGTCCAGTATGTAATAAGACAACTGGTCAGTGTGAATGCAAAGGGAACATAACTCAGCGACAGTGTAACAGGTGAGAAGCATAACTATGAATCTAAAAGTAAACGAACAAAATAACAAGAAGTTAAAAAGTACATGTACCCAATTAATTTTGAGGAGGACAAACTAGCTGCGTTATTTCTGTGTCTTAAGATTAAAAATAATGAGTTGCAAAATGCATGTATTCAATTTGGTTTCACCTTTTGAAGTAACTCTGAATATGAAGTACATGTATAAAATACATATAATAGTTTTGTTTTATTGTTGTCTTATAATTATTATCCATTCAAAGAGCATTTACCAATCATCACTGGTAAGATGACCTGTGTACAAGTTTCTCCCTTGGGTCATGCCTGAGTCATATTGACACATGCACTGTGTAACAGCTAGTACAGTGCTTTCAGGAATAGCCAGGGGCTGGGGATTTCCCTCAGCTACTATGAGCGTGACTCCTGGCTACTTTACAGGAAACAAAAGGAAAATGGAGCCAAAGGAGCTTCCCAGCTACCTAGCCATTCACTTACTCATTACTAATTGCATATGCACAGCAACTTACTAACTTGAAATCTTAGTGATGGAGCCCTGACAGTGTGCCTGTAGCTTCACCAACCATATTGCATTGTCCTAGTCCAGTTTTCTCCTTCCTTTCCCCCTTCTCTCTGTGTTTCTATCACTTCTCAGGTTTTTATGATGGGTGCCTGGATGCCTTCCATGGTGGCTCAACTGATGGCTTGGTTGTAGGGATTGCTTTCCATGGGAGTGGCACTCAGGGGTCTAGGGGCTGCTGACTGGTTGGCCTCCAGTGTACACCAACCTCCATTTAGCATGCAATGCAGTTAAGTCAACTTATTAATTAAAAGATGTGTTCCTCTTTTTTTGTTAGCCCTCGAGATGGATTCTACTACCCAACTCTGCACTTCATCAGTGGTGCAAGCTCACATATAGTTACATCCCAACAGGTATGAGCATTTATCAGGTTTACATTATTTTAATTGTCGATGTTAACATGCCAATGCATCCCAATATCAGCTGGCAAAAACCCAATGACATTATCCACAATATTGTTCAATTTTTTGTGTTGTAGGGAAATAAAACGTGGACAACAACAGTCAACATTGTTCAAGGAGTTAGGTCCAGTGGCTTGTTTACTCTTATTCTCTCCTACACGAGTGCTTCAAGTGTTGTTGTAGAAATCAGTACAGGATCTAGATCTGCTGAGGTGTCCCTCAGTAGCTGTCCTCAGCGCTGTTATTTCAACTTGTCAACACTGTTTGGAGAAATGTCTCTCACTGGTTCAGTTGTTGTAAATGTGACCTATGGAGCATCCATAACTCAGTTTACAGCACTCAAGATAGTGGCCTTACCACAAGAATTTTATCAGCCATCAATACTTCAGAACTCAACAGGAGAGGATTTCTTGGCCAACTGTTCGGTCATAGACAATGACATGGGAGTTGGGACTGACAGGGAAGAGTTTTGCCTGGCACAAGTTTTCTCCCTTGTTGTCAGTTATCTTGGGAGAGCTTTGCGTGAGTTCATCATGTACCTGAAATTGAAATATCATAGAATGATCTTTATTTTTAAACTACAGTATAATCGTGAGCGATCTTGGTAGAATCTTCAGAATTTAAATTTTGTCAAGATTTTCTGTCTTTATAATTTTATGGATTTTATTAGTTTTTAAACCCCCCATAATACACCTTGTTCACCCTCCAAATTTTGCACAATTCATTGTGTTCAAATGCTGTTGGGAATATGCAGCCCTACCATGCCAGCAAAATTTGACAGCAATGGTTCACGCTAAATTTTGGGGGCAAGTAGAGTGTATTATGGCCCATTGGAAAATGGACTTCTAGAATACAGTTGTCATATTCGCTATTCACTAAATGTATAATTATTTGCATACTTTTTCTTACATTGCTACATGACTGTAATTAAATATTTCTGTTATTGTTGCTTGATCATTGCTTGTAGCATGTGAGTGTGATGGAACTGGTTCAGTAAACAGTACATGTCAGAAGTACGGTGGTCAGTGTTATTGTAAGCCTGGAGTAACAGCAAGGACCTGTAACCAGTGTATTCCTAGATTCTATAATTTCTCCTCACAGGGTTGTTCAGGTAGGATATTAAAATCTGAATAAGTTAGTTGTCTCACTTGCAGTTATTATACATATTGAAAACTTACTCTTCACAGGGTAATTAGACAATATGAAAGTTCCATTTGATGGCCTGGGCTTTTGCAGCTACAAAACGCAGGTCACAAGTGCATGTCAGTGGCACTCTATTGATAGATATTAAACTGAGATAAGTAGTTTCCCCTTAGATTTCAGATTGTGATTTGGCTAATATCAGACATTCTTAGTGTTGTTTATTCGCCGTGGAACAGTGACTTGTGACCTGTAACCTGTGACCTGCTATTTGTAGCTGCCACCTGGGCTAAAGTGATTAGCTAGTTTTTGGGGATTGTATAGTTGGCTCTATGTTTAGTTAATCGTGCACCAGTGAAAAACTGGATAACTGATTTACAATGCACCTTCCTCAATCAGATGATAGAGTAATACTAAACCACAGGATGGAATATTAATTTTTTTGAGTGATATGTTTTTGTTTTTGAAAGCTTACTGACTGACTGAAAATTTGTTTTGCTAATTTTTTTCAGCTTGTGGTTGTGATGGAGAAAACAAAGTTTGTGATTCCAGCACTGGGCAATGTATGTGTCCTCCTAACACTGTGGGTCGTACATGTGGCCAGTGCAACTACACTTACTGGGGATGGAATGAAACTGTTGGTTGTCAGGTAATGTATTTATCTTCTTCCAATTTGACATGCTCAATGGTGACGCAGTAGTTCATGCACATTGTTCCACAGATAAAGACAGAAACTTAACGAGTAAGAATGCCAATTGGCCTGATTTGCCTAATATGGCTATAAATGTAATTTAATTAGGCGAGGCTAAACACTGTTAAGGACAATTCATTTTGCTCACATTTCCATTTGTGTATGGTCATTTGGGCCATTTTAAGGATTATAAGGAGTTGAATTCAGGACTACCAAGAACAACTCCAGCTAGCGGCCAGGCCCGGGTTGCTTGAAGCATGGTTAGTGCTAACCAGCGTTAAATACCATGGAAACCTATACATTTCGTACCAGTTTTTTTGCAGACTTTAAGACTAAAATACAGGATGTTACCTTCATGTAGATTCTTTTTGCCTGACATACTTCAACTTAAAATTGTAAATTGTAAATGATATTTTCTTTCCTTGCATTTAATGTATATATATATTTTCTATACAGTTTTTATGTAGTGTCAGCTCGAAGATATTAGCTTGTTAGCTACTCTAAAATTCGAGTATAAATAAAGTTTTATGTTATGTTAATTTGATACCTCTTAACCAACGGTTAGCGCTAACCAGGCTTCGAGCAACCGGCCCCAGATAAGGACTGCAGAGTTGTAGCGGTGTAGCTTCCTAAACCCAGGCTCCATCATGCTGCCTTGATTTGTTGGAATTACTCAGATTACTGTAATGTAAGATTTATTTATTCTTTAGGCATGTAACTGCAGTACAATTGGATCGAGTAATCTCCAATGTAATCTCACCTCAGGAATTTGCAGGTGAAGTGAATTATTGATCACCTCAAACTTTTGAAACCCCATTCTAAAGTTACCTTTCTTTGTGAGAGTTTTGAAATGCCATCCTTATCAAGGCCTCTTTATTTTCCCAATTCAGCCACACAAAAAATATATAATAATAAATTATTTGTTTTGAGAACAATAATATACAATCTGGGAATCCTGTTAATATTTTCAACTGACATTTAATGACCATCCAAACAAACAGAAAGAAGCAAACTAAAACAAGTGATAATTTATAACAAACTGCTTGATGGATGTACAAGTATGTTGAAGGATCTTTTTGTGTGAGATGCTCAGCTTGAAGGCCAGCTCTCATTGCTGACTTAAGATAAGATGTCCTTTCTTTACATATTTCTGTTTATGTTTGACAGCTGTAAGCCAGGAGTGCAGGGAGATAAGTGTTCAGAGTGTATGGATAGCTATAAGAATTTCTCCAGTCAGGGTTGTTCAAATTGTTCCTGTGATGGTAGAG